GATTTTTTTACCCAAGCCTTATCTATATAGCACATAATAATTTAAAGTACCAGACTGGTGGAACTAACCTTATTGGATGTTTAACAGTCATAGTTTGAGGCCTATACTAAAGGACAGTTTTTGCCCGTTGTCCTCCAAGGTCGACTAAGTTCTAGGGGACTATGAAACATCTCTCAAAATGTCCTGTAACTGTGGTGAGTCACCTGTCCTCTTCTTCAGGGAGGACATGGAGACCCCATGAGATGGACTTGAACCAGTGTCCAGTCTACAAAGAGGAGGGTCAACTCAGAGGAAACATTTCCTCCATGCTTCCAAGTGAAGCCTGCCATGGTCGACTTATCTTCACATAGATGGAACTGGTAAAAGAAAGGAGCCAGGAGCTCCTCCCAAGCTCATGTGACCCCTGAGGAACAGATCCTCAAATGACCTTAAGTGTAAAAATAAATTGATTTATTTAACACCCAAAAGGAAAGTATAACCAAAGATTAAAGTCATCAGTATATTTCTTTAAGATTTCAAAGGATTTCACTTCTTAGACATTAGGCTTAAGTCTATATAAAAAGTTATTCAGACAATTATTTCTCATTCATGAATTTGTTCATAACCAGAAAGTGCTGCTCAGATATAAGACGTCAGATCTTGGTCTCCAATACTGTAGTGCCCACCTGTAGCTAAGGGAGGCAACCAGTTATTGTTCTAAAATGATAGCTAAATTTGTTTTCTCCCTCTATCTAGAAGCCTTTGAGAGGGAACTGACACTGATTCTAACCACTCTAATACCTATCAAAATACCTGAAAGCAAACCCTGAATCCACCACTCTAGAGTTCAACCTTGGAAGACAAAAGAAAAATGAGGAGGAACACAACAGTGGGATACTTTTGGAAGCCCTTGTCAAGAAATTCCAATGGACTCATATGAATGTTTGAAAATTGCCCTGTTCTGACTTTTTTCTAGTCCCCTGCCTAGAACGTGTAATACTAATTACTCTTGCCTTTACTTCTCCTTCACATCTCCTATTCAGGATTCAAGGACTTTCTTTTCCCCTTAGAGATAAGAGTTATGCAATTTGGGAGTCTTTTAGATAGACCCACGGAAGGGGTACTCCAGTTGCTTCACCCTGCATCCCTGTTCAGCATGGAAGAAGCCAGAGTGGTCTGCGTCCCTATTCCATATTGGCAATTTGTGTAACCTCTTCAGAAGATGGTGTGATAAGAATGAGAGGTAGAAATTGGCTAGGCAGTTAGGGTAAAAAGACCCCAAAGAAAAGTAGCCAGTTTCTTGCCTAAAACTCACCATGTCCTTGGGCCTCTTAGCAAAATACTCTGTTCCAAAGGCCCAAAATGTTGAAAGTATCTGGGAGCTTGTATCTAACCATTAAAAGATTTTAAAGTTACCTCTTCAGAAGGGGGGAATGTTAGAGTGGCCAAAAGCCCCATTAAAAAAATAATAAAGAAGAAAGAGTTCATGAAGTTATCAGAAAAAAGTGATGGGGAGATATGGGAGGAGTTGGAAGGGAGGGAGTGGGCATGGATTTGATCAAAACACCTTATATGCATGTATGAAATTCTCAATAAATTATTTATTTAAAAATAAAAAAGTTAATAATCCACATGTCCACAAACTAAACAAAATGTGCTATAGCCACATAATGAAATGTTTGGCATACAAAGAAATGAAATATTGGCATGAGTTACAATATGGATAATTCTCAAAAGAATTATGCTAAATGAAGATTCCATTTATTGGAAATGTCCAGAATAGGCAATCCATGGAGACAGAAAGTAGATTAGAGGTTGCCTGATGAGGGCAGCAACTAACTGATGGAAAGGTTCTTGGGAGAATAAAAATGTTTTATAGTTAGATTATAGTGATGGCTATATTTAAATACACCTTAAATAGGAGAGCTTACCATGTGTGGATTACACCTCATAAAGCAATTTAAAAAGTCATAAGTGGAGGATCACATAAATAGTGGCCTTGGTTATATAGAAACAAAACTGATAATGTTTCCTTTTTCAGTTGGTACAAAGTTAGACTTTGTAAAAAATCTGCAGTAAAATTCCTCACCCAGACCAGAAGCAGGGTACCCACTGCTATTACTGAAAATGATATAATCATGGTGAGCTAGCAAGATCTGGGAAAAGGAAACATGGGGACCTAGGCAGGGCTACCTTCTAAGTCATGTGATTTCTTAAAAAGTAACCACTAAGTCTGAATTCATCAGTGTCTTAACTGCAGGGATGTGTGGTTTAACACCAAACATCCTCACAGCAGAGACTACTTCCTCAGCTCATAAAAAGAGCTAAAGGCTTTCTAATAGAAACCAAGATGACGTTTTTCCTCCAGAGACTCTGTGTGTGTCTGTGTGTGTGTGTGTCTGTGTCTGTGTGTGTGTTTGTGTCTGTGTCTGTGTGTCTGTGTTTTTTTAACTTTTTAAAAAAATTATTTATTTAATAACCATGTAATTAGAAGAAGCATTTCATTACAACAGCATTGACATATTCAATAACAATTTCCAGAGCTAAGATGCATCCCTTTTAAAATTGGCTGTAAATTTTTAGATTTACAGTTGAATTAATACAGTTATACAATATTGTACTCAGTATAAACCCTATAAGACATAAAATTAAATGAGGTTTTAAACTTTGAAAAAGATCTCCATTTCATTATTAAAATACAGTTTCATACAGAAAAATTCATTTTTAATACAATTGACACTAAGATGCACATGCATTTCTAATCTCTATATATCTGCTTATTACTAGTCACAGTTGGTTACTTTCTGAGATCCTTGGCATCTGAGCATGGATATAAAGTCATCAGGTAGATTTCAATGGTAATGTTTTTCACATCTACTAATTATTAAGGAGCAAATTTTTATGTGAAGATTTTTTTTTTAATTTATTTATACACCTACTTCCCAGGTAGCACCCTCCCATAGCCTCCCTCCCCCAACTAGAGCCCTTATACTGTGATATCCCTGCTACTGTCTGCTGTGTTGTCAGCACCCCCAGCCATTCCCCACTACTTGCCCTTCTGGTGAATCTAGTCAGCCTATCTAGAGGTCTTTGTTTTAGGAGGGTCAGCTGTTCCTTCATCTAGCGGTAATCAGTTGTCGATATTCCTTCAGATAAGATTGGGATCTGCTGTTCAGTTTCCCAGTTCTATGCTGGGTTACTATCTGGGAATCCCTTTGGCCACCCTGGCCAACAACTCAAAAAAAGGTATTGCCTGTCTGGCATTGTTGCTTGTTATGTAGCCTTTAGCTATGCATATGGACTCT